TATGCGATTTTGACTAACATTTTTAATCTGCCTCGTACATGCTTATTTTTTCTCCACTTGGTATAAAAGGCATGTCATTCAATAGCTAAAAGCCTGATCTTTCCGAATATGAAAACCAATTGTTCATACGCAGGGTAATTCACGTATAATAGCGCGCTGAAGTTCGATTACCTTTTTTTTGATACACCCTGTATATATTATAGGAAGTTTTCAAACAGCATACACAATTCTACGGGATATATGTTAAAATAAAAATTCCTATATAATATTTTGTGTTCAATATATAGACCACAGTAAGACCGAGAGCCGGGGATCCATCACTTCCCACCTTGAAAATATAAAAAAATGTTTGGCCGCGCGGGTAAGGAGACTGAGAATGACGCGCAAGAATGCCTTCAAAATCCGCCATCTTTGCTTCATTTTTCGATTACATCACTATATAACTGAAGTCAGCCTTCCATGCATATAGTTCACTGGTTAGAACTACACTTTTGAATTAGTTTAAAGTAACATGCGCATGCATAAACCATGGATAATAAAATAAATGGATAGGAAACTAGCTGATGTGACCTAATGATTTTCATGGGCTGATGGCGTGGTTGGATGTGCCAACCTAGTTGCAAACCAAATTCTCAAAAACGTCATGTTTAGCATTAATACAGCTAAATATTTTAGTCAAAGAGCAAGTAAACATAACCACGCCATTCTATGATGAAAACTCTAAGTATTCCCAGTCAATTTTAGCTAATATTCCAAGCACTAAACAGTGAAAAATACATTGCAAATTTCGTTAAAATTTGTGACGCCAATTTCGTAGCTACAAATGTAAAAAATACAAAATTTGCAAAGACGAAAAACATTTACCTTGAATACTTTGTCGTGGCTTAGGCATGTTTTTAAAACAATTAAACCAGTTTATGCTTCAATATCACCCTTTTAAAATTGGAAAATATATATAGCAAAACAACAAAAATGCTGGGAACTTTGGTAACATTCGCAATACGCGTGACGTCACGTTTTTCAACAAACTTCATATCCAGTTATTTTACAATCCATGCATAAAGGCCCATACAGACCGGACGCGATTTGGCAACGCGACGCGAATTTTCTGTTTTCAATGAGTTAACTTTAATATTTTTCAGTGTTTTTCAAATATTTGGGACCACTTAAGCAATTGCAAATCTCGTAAAATTTTTACCCGTTGACGGTTTTATTTGTTTTTGAAAACTGAAAATTCGCGTCGCGTTCCCGAATCGCGTCCGGTCTGTGTGGGCCTTAAGGAAATTCCGCAGTTTTGCATTGCGCACTTTTACTGCGCACATCTTGTAACTTATAATTTAATCCATTATACATACCGTTTAAAAAAAATATCATTTTATGACAATTTTATGTTACTTCAAAACATCTTTCGTTACATTCGTGCAAAGAATTACGTTAAAATAAATGTTTTCAAAAAAGGCATACAAAAGTGTAGCTAGGGTTCCAGTGTCTGTAGTATATTTATTTAGTAATACTTATATTTCACGTTTAATGCCACAATTCCCTAAAAATATCGGTGACCCCCGTTTTTTAACTGATAATTTATTTCTTTAATGTATTTTACATTTCATATCCGAAATTAAAAGAAAAATCATGTCCGGATCTTGAAAAAAATCCTTTATCAATGCATGTTCTCAAAGTAAGATATGTAAAGAAATGTGGAAAAGACATTTGTGGATCAGAATTGTACACGTTAATAGTTTCATTTTGCTCAAAACATAATATTTTTTCAAAAATAATTACAAGATAGGTTTACTAAAGCAAAATCCGCGCTAAAAACGTCAATAAATATCGGGCTGTTGTGAGTTTGCTGTTACTCGTAATGAGCGTCAAGATGGCGCCATATTGGGGTAAAGGTGGTATATTGTGATTGTCATATCTTCTTAACAAGTTCGGTGACCTCGACTTTTTTGTGTGATTTTCCTTTAAGTATATCATAAACTCCATGCATGGGAAGTTTCAGCACATTCTCATGTCGGGAACTATTACTGCGGAATTACCTTAAACGTTAAATTGCGATCGTTATTCGCGCGTGCGAAATTGCGTAGCGTATAAATGACGTGTCCGATTAATTCTAATAAAAAGTAGAAATTGTTAATTCTGTCTTTAATGTTTAAAGTACGAAATCTAAGATATCTTGCTCCTATTTTCCATTCAAGTCTGGATTGAGCTTTAGGATGAATAATGCTTCGTTAATTTTCCTTTCTACAGATACTTTTGTTCTTTTTAAAATCTTAACAGACAGTTCGTAATGTTGGTCGCGACAGTGTTTCGAGAGAGTCATGTTTTTATAAGACTTTGCTTTCGGATTTGCTGCGGAACGAAAATGTTCTTTGGTGTCGAATGAAGCAATGTTGCAGATTGGGGATTTAGAGGTATTCGTGCATACTTTATCGTAAGGTCGCGATTCTACGAGGAATTGTTTATGTGAGCTTTGTGGTCATAAACATACTCGTTTATATTAATTCAGCTAGCATCGAACCATACTAGTTCTGCAAGTGTTATGTAATGTTATGTTATGTTGTTTTGCAAGTGTTATGTGTGTTGTCCGCGGCAGACAATATCTTTCTGCTTGCGCTGCGTATGGAAATTATGAAATATTCTATATATATATTCTATATATATATATATATATATATATATATATATATATATATATATATATATATATATATATATATATATATATATATATATATATATATATATATATATATATATATATATATATATATATATATATATATATATATATAATTATATATATATATATATATATAATTATATATATATATATATATATATAGAAGACAATAGTGTCATTATTAAACCGGCGGACAAGGGATCGTGTGTGGTTGTCTGGGATCGAGACGATTACTTATAGCGAAAGGATATTTACAACTCGGAAATGATAAAGTTTATACTTACATTACTAAGTCTCTTATGAATTTTGGGTAAAAGATATAACCGACCTAATGAACCCGAGTTTTTATACTCGTATGATAAATACCTAAGTTCATCTTCAGAAATACGACCCTGATCATATAAATCTTGAAACATTTTATTACTTTTTCCCACTAAATCACCCAATTTTTCATCCGCAAAATTCTCAACCTACCAGGACGTCCCGTGATCTCTAATTGCGGAACTTCCAACGAGAAAGCTTCAGAATTTTTAGATCATCATCTGAAGCCCATTATGAAAGCTGGTAAGTCCTACATTTACGGAGAGATACGGGACACTTCCTGGAGAAACTAAAAGAAATTGGAAAGGTACCCGACAATGCTTTATTAGTTACCGCTCAAGTTACGAGTCTTTACCCAAGCATGCCAGACGATGATGCTCTACGCGCCGTATGTGCATAATTAGAGGAAAGTAAGGATAAGAAAGTGTCGTCAGAAAATCTTACTAAAATGGCGGAGTTTGTTTTAAAAAACAATTATTTCGAGTTTGATGGCTCCACCATATGCATGTATTTTCATGGATTTCAGCCTGTTATTATACGTAATATAAGCTTCAATTTGAGGTAAAATTCAACTACAAACGCTTCCGAAAACGTTTTAAAGTGTTCTTTATAAAACTAAACTGCCTTTAATTAAATGGCTTTATCGATAAACTTTGAGTTTGCAATAAAATGATTTCAAATTCTCGCATGCAAATAACTTTGTTCTCTTTTTTTTAAAAAAATTAAATATAATAATCAATATTAAAGATACACTAAAGTTATATTCTGTCTTGTTTAGTTGTTTCATATACGCAAAGGCCGTCGGGTTTTAAAGCAATTATAAAATCAATATTTAAAAAAACTTCCTTCGTTATAACGTCAGCTCCCCTCTTTTAGCCGATTCTTTCGCCCTTTCTTTCTGAGAAAGCTTTTGAAATTTACAAAATCTTGCAAAAATGCGAGCAAAAATGAAATATATTTGCAAGAAATTTATCAATCATCAAATCAAGAAATGTTTGCTATTTCGCTGTCGTCATGCAGTCGTTAAACTTTAAATTGGACTAATCAGTGTTGTTGGTGAGCCACGCCCGCGGTCATTGATGAACTTTAGACTTCGCCAATGCTTTCGTTTCCCCGGGTTGTAAATAGTCGGGAGGAATTAGTACCCTCGCACGGCGCTTCGCGCCGTCTGCTCGGAGACAAAATCCCCAATAATAAACATGACACTCAGTGTATGCCTGTACTCCCCCATTGGAGAAGACATTGATAAGTGCATCATTGCAATCTCTTGTTGTTAGTACAACACCAAGAACATGCAAGGTTCGTGTAAATATCTAGTGAAACCTATAACATTTCTATAACAATAGACATGCAGTTGCTTAGACTGCAGCCAGATTGGCGTATGGCAGCATGACTTTGAACCAGCATCTTAATATGTATTTATCATTCGTGACTCCCCAGTTCATAAACCATATTATTATTACACTCTTGAACATTTTTTTCTTCGAGCACACCTATACAGTGATTTGGCATGGTCATGATTATGATTAATATATTAATATTATTAATATGAGAATTTTTTGTAAGTTACGTAGCTAACACGCGCTCAAAACTATGGTGAATATGATTTTCCATTTGGTTATGAATTCAACGTTTCTAAAGCGGCAAACAAACTTACTGCAACAAATTTGTTTAGTGCTTTATCTGTAAAATTATGTTAAACTGAAGAGATTTTAGATTGTACGCCAAAGAGAAAATTATGTCTGAATTTCAATACATTTTACTTAATATATTGCTGTATGAATATGGCGTCAATTTAATTTACAGCATAAATGTTAATTGTATTTTAATTGACAATGTTCAACTATTATTCTGTGTCTCTAATTAAACCGCCAGATAGATTTAAAAAGGTTGCTAACTGTGTCAAATACAAAGCAGAGGTATGACGACCATGATAATATAAAAGTCGTTCGTACATTTAATTTGTTTCAGCTAGATGTTCTGATTGATGATATCAATGTCAGAGAAACTCATGGAGAAACCAGTGGATAGAATTACCGTTGAGGTGAACGGAGTCCAGCATATTATTTCCAACACAAGTCCAAAGACATCCTTAAATGAATGGTTGAGATCACAGCCTGGACTGAAGGGTAAGGAACACATTGCTATTCTGGGGATGCGGGCTGATTGTCTGGTGGGCGGGCGAGTGCTTACTGAATGATTTCACCATCCAGGATTGTACTTCTTCTCATTTTTTTGTTATTTCTTGCAGGACCAAATACATTCGACATATCTGTTATAGTTATTCACCAAACGAGTGTAAATTTTTCAAATTTGGGGGGAGAGTTTGTAAAAGATAAAAATTGTGTTCCAAATTGCATGGGAATTCTTAACGCAAAAATTTCACGACTTGAATAAAAAATCCAGCATTCTTGACTTGATCTTAACAAACATTCCTGACAAAATACATAATCTACATGGTTACGACGACAGTATCTCTACCGATCACAAATTAATCGGTTTTGATCTAGATCTAAGGGTGCCTAAGAAACCGGATATTAAACGTTCCGTCTACAACTTTAAAAGAACAGATTGGTCTAGTCTAAACAACTCACTCCAGAACACCTCTTGGGACCAGTGTTTTGTACCTAATGATGTGGATGCTTTTCTCTCAAATTGGTGTGTTGTTTTTCTAACCGTTGTTAACCAACACGTGCCTAAATCTAAGACCAGAAATATCCATGATCATCCTTGGGTTGATAAAGAGCTTTTATCTCTCATTAAGAGAAAAAAAAACATGCAAAGACTAAAAGCCAATAGATCAGGTTGTGTTCATGACGCTCAAAAGTTTGAAGATCTTCGACGCCTAACGAAACAACTTATCTCGCAAAAAAAGAAGGAGTACGCAACTAAACTCAGAGACTCTGTCACGGAAAACCCGAAACGGTTCTGGTCTTTCGTAAAATCCTCTAGGTCGGTCAAAATCACCACGAACTTCCTTCGAGATAATCAGTCTTTTATTACTGGCAGCAGTAACAAAGCTAACCTACTGAACTCCTTCTTCCACTCAGTCTTTAGTCCTTTTCAAGCTACCACTACAACATCTAATCTCCCATTGTCTTCCGACACAGCCTTATCCAACATCCAACTAACAGAAAACGAAGTCTTTAAAGCACTTGACGGTTTGGATCAAAGCAAAGCATGTGGACCTGATGGGATACCTGGAAAACTTCTCAAGATGACGGCTAACATAATCGCACCATCTCTCTGTTATATATACGATCTTTCTTTGTCCCAGGGTGTAGTTCCTGCTTGTTGGAAGCTCGCAGACGTTACACCTGTGTTCAAAAAAGACGATCCAACGCTCGCTTCTAACTATAGAGCCATATCCCTATTATCTATCATCTCAAAAACGTTTGAACGCTGTGTATATACCCACTGCTATCCCCATCTATCACCACGTTTCTACCATCTACAGCATGGTTTCTTAAGGGGTAAATCTACGGTAACTCGACTACTCCACGTCTACCAAGAAATCTTAGATCACTTAGCTGGTGGGAAAGAAATTGATGCCATCCACCTAGACCTGTCTAAGGCCTTTGATCATGTTCAACATCACATGCTTCTGAACAAGCTTGAGCAATATGGCATATCAGACTCGCTTCTTCAGTGGTTTCGTAGTTACCTGAGTGACAGATATCAGCGCGTTGCCTTAGATGGGACCCTCCAAGATTGGCTCCCCGTGACCTCTGGAGTCCGACAGGGATCCATCCTAGGACCCCTCCTGTTCCTAGTATATATTAACGACATGCCAGAATACGTAGGTCAGGGCTCGAGTATTGCATTATTTGCGGATGACTCTAAACTATATAGGCCCATAAACTCGGCATCTCACCATCTGTTGCAATCGGACCTTTCAGGCCTTCATAATTGGAGTAATGACTGGGGCATGATGTTCAACCCATCCAAGTGCAAAGTGATGCACATGTCTCCGAAGAAGGTCTGCTCCTCTGCTTCAATCCAATACCACCTGAACGACAAGCCCCTGGAAAGTGTGACACGCATCTCTGACCTGGGTGTCATCGTATCCAAAGACCACTCCTCTCACCTCATCGTATCCAAAGACCTCTCATCGTATCCAAAGATCTCTTGTAATCATATTGAAGACACATGCACCAAGGCCAATAAAACCCTTGGTCTAATTAAGCGGATGTGTGCTAGCGACGTTGTGGATGAAAATACGCGAAAGCTTCTCTATTGTGCTGTTGTACGCCCTAAGCTTGAGTACGCGTCGTGTGTGTGGTCACCTTACTCGGCTAAACAACGTAAATTAATAGAGAACGTTCAACGCAGAGCAACGAAATTCATTCTGAACTACCCTCCTCGTGATGTTACCTACAGAGACAAGCTAATATCCTGTTATTGTTATTGTTATTGTTATTGTTATTGTTATTGTTATTGTTATTGTTATTGTTATTGTTATTGTTATTGTTATTGTTATTGTTATTGTTATTGTTATTGTTATTGTTATTGTTATTGTTATTGTTATTGTTATTGTTATTGTTATTGTTATTGTTATTGTTATTGTTATTGTTATTGTTATTGTTATTGTTATTGTTATTGTTATTGTTATTGTTATTGTTATTGTTATTGTTATTGTTATTGTTATTGTTATTGTTATCTCGACGTAAATGTATATCTTGAATGTGTGTGACAAAATGAATAAATAAAAATAAAATAAATAAATAAAAAAATCCATTCGGGATACACGCAACAAACATTTTGAAGATGCCCTTAGATATCCTCCCCTCGTAACAGTTTGTTTCTGATGGCACTGTTATTCCATACCTGATGATGACATGTGAATATAGAAGTGAGCTCTTTAACTCTAATCTTCAAGCTAAAACATGAAATATATATTTACCACTTCGTTGAGAGTCTGAGACCAAGCGATACAGTGTGTTTTGTGAGCCCGAAATAACCGAGGGCAACAACGGCGGTTGAGGGGCCACAAGACACACTCCTTTCCGGAGGTCTCAGTAAATAGTGTTTTGTTATAGCAGGCTATATAGATGTAAGAGGCAAAGTATTATTAATTCACCGGTGAATGGAGTGAACTTTGAAACCAAAATTAGAATTAGAAATGGAACTTTGAAACTAGAACTTTGTAACCAGATAAATGTTTAATTAAAAAGTTTAATAAAATGAACTTGGCATGGGAACTTCACAGTAGACGCGCATGTGTACTGCAGGATTGACGCGTATGTACTTGTAATATGTATGACTATAATAATAATAATAGGTATCAAGTGTCACAGGGGTGATTGGCAAGGTATTAGGACATTAGTAATATGAGACAGGGACATTAGAATTGTTATTGTGTGATATTCTAGGGTGTAAAAGAGTAATAGAAAAGCCTGGTTTTGTATCGTTGTTGTCTGATTCGCTTATATTACATACTCATTACGGACCCCTCGCCAAAGTATGCAGTGAACATGACGTTTTGTGGACCGGCACGTAATACAGTTATGACCAATCGGCAAACAGAAAAATGGAACTTTGTCACTCACAGTATAACAATGTTGTATCGCTAGGGTGAACATCAAACGTGATAGGCTGATTTGTGGTCACGTGGCTTTAGACAAATGCATTGTATCCCGCCGGGTAACACGTGAAAAATTATTGCCCACCCCGACCGGCTAGCTACGTACAAAAATTAACACGTTTATAAACTCCAAGTTCGTGTTGAAATAAAGAAATTTAAAAGAGACAAAACTACACAATCAGCGACATGAGTTGCTGCTAAAACCGTTTAGGTAGGTTCTTTTAATTTTAAACTCGTTTAGACTATAGTGTTTTTGTGAAAAAAAAATCATTATTGTTCTATGAATGTTGTTGAGTTTTCATCTGTCGCTATATGACAAAACACTGTTCCCTCGGCAACTAAAAATCGAAGAATCTGAGGAAATATTGGTACGGGGGGGGGGGGGAATTCGGTTGGCAACACATGACCACTTTTATATCCGTGAACCTTTCATGGTTGAAAAAATTTTGTTGAGCTTTTTTGTCATTCAGCTATCATTCAAGGACTTTCAGAAATTATTGGGGGCGATTTCCCCCGATCCCCCTACACTAAAAAGTGAACCCAATTAACGTAATATACAATAAAAGCATATGCAACTACTGTAACTGTATGCAAGTCTATTAACAGATGTGCCTTGAGTTTCTGCTAAGGGCTTCGGGGACTAGGTGAGGGAATTGGGCGAGAGCGAGTCCCCCACTCTCGTTTAGGACTACCTTTGAAAGAGTTTTAAATCTGTTTAGAAATGGGGTGGGGGAGTGGCGATATCAGTATTAGCGAACTTAATTAATCTAATACAGGGACGTGACAAGAAACAACCTTAAGTTTTATGAAGAACTATCGGTAAGAACCTCAACAAGCAGGACAAACGTGCAACGAGGACGACTATTAATATCGTATTAATGCAAGAAATTTAGTAGAAATTTGCAATTAAAATTCCACGGAAGTTTTAGACGTCGCCGTCGCTCTGTTTACAACGGCAAAATACTGATGATTATCAGGTCAAACTGGGACAATGGCTACTTCCAAATGGGTTCTAGAACTTTTCTCAATTATTAACCCTGTGTTAGCGTTGATCGTATGATGGATAATCTGGTTCTACCAGTTTGTTTGCCGTCGCGTTCCCGTCCTACATTCTTAAGGTCGCTAACATCCAATTTAGGGAAATTTGGCGCGATAAACTAGACATAAAAGGAAGTACATTTTTAATGCTGCGTAAGCAAGCAAGTACATTTTATTATTTCTACAAATGTCTTGCTTATTATTTTTATATAAGCAATTCTTACAGACCATTTTTTATTTAGCTACTGTCGCAAATTGTATTGTATTTATAGACTGTGGCTCTGAGAGTCACTCAAATTTTCAAAGACTCAAATTTTCAAAATGTGCTAGGGAAGCACGCTCTCGGACTCCCCTACTAACGTTCGCAGCACCCACCTAAAAGTATCTTGATTACATTATTCCGCCACCCTCTCCCATTTCTATATCGCGGCCTACTGGACTGAATGTGTCCTTTAACACATCCAGCCACGATCTAGCAACCCTAATGTTATATTTTCACTGTCCTCCATAACGGCCAGTCATGCACTCGTTCATTTGACATTTTTGTGACACTAAGAAAAGAGCCTATTTATTAATTTGATGATTGAATGTGTTTGATATCACCCTGCAGGTACAAAAGTGACGTGTCAAGAAGGCGGATGTGGCGCGTGTGTTGTCGCATTGACAAAACAAGATCTGAGTACAAAGAAGGACAAAATCATTGCTGTCAATAGTGTAAGATTTAGTTTTCATTTTACTTGCTTTATACTTATTTTACTTCTATAATCAGGTTGGAAAATTGGAATAACTATTTTATTTTCAGAGCATTATGTACAAGAAATATCGAAGTTCTGATCCCAAAATATGAGTGGTGGTTCTTGGTCGTGGCTCCCACTCACTCTCCGCCCATGAAATCGAACCATTTTACATATTTTAGCAGAAGCTGTTAATTAAATCTTAAAACTAGAAATACATGCATGCAACAATCCCTCGCCCACATTTCCCCAACATTGTTCGAACGGACGTGAAATATTCTAATTACGCCAAAATGGAACGCAGGCTCGCGTTGCTCACGTCATGATAGCCATGGCAACTGTTTTCTATAATTGTTTTCTTAATTTTTTGTCCAAAACGTCACAAATAAATTAATGTTTTACACCTTTAACCACAGAACTGTCGATTTCTAACATATATAAAGTAGGTATGTTATTTTGCTTTCTATGGGCTTTATTATAATAATTTAAAATTCAACACGAAACGCTCCGTGAAACGTTTTTAAATGTACATTTAAATTAACTGATTTTTGCCGATAAACTCTTCAACTTATTTTTAATACTCGTAGTTTGAAATGAAATAAGTTTAAGTCATACAGGTCGCTCTTGAAAATCATTTTCGCCCTTTTTGCATGAGCTTTTATAAAGAAATTAAAGCAAGTTAATTCAAAGGAACTTCACATACATGTTTAAGGCCTTCAGGCGAAAACTGGACTGCAAATTCATATATAAACACTAAAAATAATTAAATAAACTTACCCTATACTTCAGGATTTCACATAAAGGAAAAGGGAAAAGGTGATTTAGAACTTATTAAGGGAAAGGGTGATTTAGAACTTATTGTGTGAAAAGATGTCCAAGCTTTCTGTCATGCATGTTTTTTTAATCTTTGCTTCTTTCACTCCTGGCTAACTGCTATATTGTTGAGATCAGTGTGATGAGCACCCGTGCATAGCCATGCGCCCGCGATCATAGATGAACTTTGGACTTCGCTAATGCTTTCCTTTCCCCGGGTGTAAAAAGCCGAGCGGAATTAGTACCCTCGCCACGGGCTTCGCCCTACGCGCTCCGCGCGTGGCTCGGGGATTAAGAAGTTGTTTAATGTTTTGAAAATCCAAAACTGCAAAACATTCTTGTGATTAGAAAACGTTATTATCTCTACCAATCTTCCACCATGCATTGCATGTCATGTACAATTGGTGTGATGCAGGAGAAGCCGTGTTATAATCTCCGAATGTCTAGTAAAATTGATTTATGAAAGTCAATTGTTTTGGTCATTGGCATTATATAGAACTTTTTCTTCCTATGAATTTGGGCGCCGATATGTTTTCCCGGAACTGATATGACTCTAGAAACTGCCTTGACTTCCTGGGTCCACAAGGTCCAAAATTATTTTTTGTTAATTGTCAACAGTCAGTAATTGTCATGTAATCAAAATTGCATGCTGTAGCACTTTCCTCTCTCACGCGGCAGGACAGTTGTGCGTGGTGGGACTATATCATGGAATATAAAGAACATACAGAAAGCCAAAAGCTGCCACGACATAATTCTCCCAGAAATGGAACAGAGAGGTCAAATTTTCATATAAAAAACATTCATTGCTACTATTAAAATGTCTGGCAATAGGCACCGCACGTCGATGCTCACCAAACGTTTCCCTCAAAATTCTTCCAGTTTCCCCAATATCAAGCATGCCACACCTATATACATGAGATGTAGTATAATATAAAGAAGGAGGAGGTGAAATGGTGCTCGACATGGCACTGAGATTTTGGTGCTGTAATCTCTGACACACACCGTTCGAGATTAGTTCCCTGCTGCGATTTTGGCTACAATAGCTAGACAGCTGCGAATTGAGAGAGGTACAACTATCTGAAGGCACCAGCTGTTTTCGTCGGGTTCTCCCATTTTTCCAGTTCATCAAACGCTATTTCCGTGATCTTAAAATATTTTCTTTTACAGTGTCTCTTCCCTTTATTTGCTGCTGATGGATTTAAGATTACAACGACCGAAGGATTGGGCAGGTAAGGCGTTGTAAGATATTAGGTGCTATCTTTGAGTGGAAATGAAAGTGCGCGAGTGAAAAAGCGCAGATTCTGCAACGATTGAGGAAAATATCAAATGATTGTATGTCAGCCAGCCAATGAAAATCGCTTGACTTGATAAGTGGACTGGCTAGTGCAGACAAACTATATTTGGGCGGATACTTCAGTGGACTAATAATAAAAGAACTCCAAATTTACTCACGTCCATACATAGCGAAATCAGTTATTTCTAAAACGTCGAAAATTGGCGTTGCTTTTATATACAGTCACAGGATAATTACAAACTCATACACTTTCAAACGCATGTTGAGATCTTTAGGCAGTGTGTTTGTGATGTTACTCTGAATGTGTATCCACACCGGGCAAGCTTGAAAAATATGCCTGGCCGCGGTGGGAATCGAACCAACGACCTTTGGAATACTAGCCCAATGCTCTGCCAACTGAGCTACGCCGGTCAGGACGGTTCGAGTATGTGATATTTCGGAACTGAGTCCAGTTTTTCGATATCAATACAATCTAGTAATATGATGTTTACTGTGTTAGTGTTATCTACTCAGATGAATATGTTTGTGATGTTACTCTGAGTGTGTATCCACCACGGTGGGAATCGAACCTACGATATTCGAGTATGTGATATTCGAGTATGTGATATTCGAGTATGTGATATTCGAGTATGTGATATTTCGGGACTGAGTCTTGTTTCTTCGATATAAATGTAATCTAGTAATCATTGCATTGATATCGCAGAAACTAGACTCAGTTCCGAAATATCACATACTCGAACCGTTCTGACCGCGTAGCTCAATTGGCAGAGCATTGGGCTGCCTAGTATTCCAAAGGTCGTAGGTTCGATTTCCACCGTGGCCAGACATATTTTTCAAGTTTGCCCCGTGTGGATACACACTTAGAGTAACATCGCAAACATCATATTCACCTGAGTACATAACACTAACACAGAAAAATATCATGATTGCTAGATTGCATTGATATCGCAGAAACTAGACTCAGTTCCGAAATATCACATACTCGAACCGTCCTGACCGCGTTGTTCAGTTGGCAGAGCATTGGGCTAGTATTCCAAAGGTCGTTAGTTCTACTCCCACCGTGGCCAGGTATATTTTTCAAGCTTGGCCGGTGCGGATACACACTCAAGAGTAACATCAGGGACGCCGGAACGATGTGAAGGCAAGGGGGGCAGATTTTCGTGAAAGGGCACTTTTGAATTGATATATACTAAGAGATGTTTGCAAAACATCGGGAGTTGAACTTCGGTTAATCATGTTTTCTATTTATTGGATTGTGAGGGAGTTCTCCGCCAGGCGATTGTGCTATTCTTGAAGCTCGATGACTGCATTTCTTGCGTTTTCTGAAGCAAATTCGTAAAAGAATCGCACTAACATTTCTGACAATTCGCTGTTTCGCCAAAGCCATCCTTTAAATTGAAAGGGCACCTTTTCCCCCTTGCCCCTCCTAGTAAAGGGCAACCCCCCCCCCTGCCCCCCCCCCCCACCCAGTTCCGGCGTCCCTGAGTAACATCACAAACATCATATTCACCTGAATACATAACACTAACACAGAAAAATATCATGATTACTAGATTGCATTGATATCCAAGAAACTAGACTCAGTTCCGAAATATCACATACTCGAACCGTCCTGACCGCGTTGCTCAGTTGGCAGAGCAATGGGCTAGTATTTTAAAGGTCGTTGGTTCGATTTCCACCGTGGCCAGGCATATTTTTCAAGCTTGCCCGGTGTGGATACACACTCAGAGTAACATCACAAACATCATATTCACCTGAGTACATAACACTAACACAGAAAGACATCATGATTACTAGTCTGTCAGATTGCATTGATATCGAAGAAACTAGACTCCGCTCAGTTCCGAAATATCACATACTCGAACCGTCCTGCCGCGTACAGCTGAGTTTGCAGAGTATTGGGCTAGTATTCCAAAGGTCGTACCCTTACAAAAATAAATTATATAGTTTTCCTCCAAAAACTATAGTTTTTTAGAGAAAAACTATAGTTTTTGGTGGAATACTATAATTTCAAAAAAAAAACTATAGTTAACTTCCAAATAACTATAGTTTTTTTTGCAATAAACTATAGTTTTATAACCCAAGGGAACTAAATTTTTTTGAAAGCTATGTTGAGTTTAGACAACTATAGTTTCTACCACTAGTACATATTTTAGCTTCATAACTAAAGGACTATATTACGGGAACCACTGAGTATTTTGGTAAAATACAAAACAATAGATACTCCGAAAATTGAAGGCATTTTGAAAAATGTATTTCGACGTTTCGACTAAACTATAGTCATCATAAGGAAATGAATGATGATGATATTACATATGTACAAGTATATATAGTGAAGTAAAAAGATACAATTAGTTAAATATTAATAGATCTTTAGAGGCTTTATTTCCATGGTTTAGGGACGGTTTCATTCTATTAATAGCAATAGACTCTTGATAAAGTATCAACGACCAGTGATTGGATTTATCTATTATCTTAGTGTTAGTAAATATTAAATCTGTTACTGACTGAACATTTAATGTTATTAACTTCGTCATTAGCTGTTAGTTCGAGTAGGTTTTTTACAAAATTGAAGTCATTACAGTTAGGAATATGGTTATATAATTCAGAAAAGTCAAGAGAAGAATGCTCTTTAATACGGGTATATATAGGCAGCGATCAGTTTTTCCTACGTAGTTAGCATCACATCCGGGGAATTTGAATTCATACACAACGGAGCTTTGATCAAAGCTTCGTTGTGTATGAATTCAAATGCCCTGGATGTAATGCTAACTACCAACCTCGTTCCCAGGGCTTCAGTGTGAGGACGAGGCGAGACACGAGGAAGCCCAGGTCTGGGCCGGTCAATTTTGCATTCTGATTGCCTAACACCATATTGTCTAAAAATAACTGAACTTGACAGTTGACAATAACAATTCAACATTTGTATTTTTATGATTCTTGTGTGTACGAGTATGTTTTGCAAAATAATCTTTCAAAGTAAGACGTTTTCCCGACTGCATGATTTACTTTCGCCTCGGCCAGTTACAAAACTCAAAAGCCGTGTCGAAGTGAGCTGTGATGTTTCCTGACAAAACAAGAAATGTCTACTATTATAGTATTATTTAAGCTGTAGTTTTCCTTGTACAGTATTTATTAGTGCAGATGTCTGATAAAATAATACGCGTATTGCATTGTAGTAATATTTTAATTTACAATATTCTGTACTGACAAATAAAAGCAAGACAAACAATTAAATGAGACTACTAAATTAATTTAGGCCCTGTTTACTTACAGTAATAGCTCTACGCCTAGGCCGATGTAGTCTCAACAAGATTCGCTCGCCAACGAGTTTTACAGTTTCGGAATACCCCGAATACTTGAAAATGGCGACTATACGATAAAATAAAACAAATATTGTGAAGGGGATAAAATTTGTAGGCAAGCATTGCTCCTGAACGGCAAGTGTTGGTGTCCGGCGAAACAAACGAATCCGTATATTCCTATTGAACTAAGTCAGATCTATAAGAGCATATATATTTAAACTAAATATTAATTATAGCAATAAAGCCAATAGCCATATTGTTCAAGACGAGAAAAAGGAAATTTCGTGTGAATCACCACTTGCATGGAGACGCCTAGGTGCAGCTTGGATGTAGCTTTGCCTGTACACTGTAAATTAAAAAGGGCCAAATCGACCCCAAATTCCGTTTCAGCCCTTTTGGGGCCAAAGCTGTTTTGGCCCTATGTGAAAGCCATTTTGGCATTGGAGAGCTGGATCTGCACCGACGGAGCCATTTTAGGTATGGAGGAAAGCCAAATTGGCCCTACCCTTTGCCGTAACGGACCCATCACTTTCCAATTTAGCCCCATCAATTGCCAATATGGCCCCACAGACCAAAACGACTCTCACGTCCGGGTTTGTTTTAGCCCCACATAAAGGGGCCGCTTTTGATCAACACTTTGGCCCCTATGAGCTTCGTTTCGGCTCTCCATCGCGGAACGACTCTCGCATAGGTCAAATCGACCCTGGAATGAAATCGACCCTTTAGTCGAAACGACCCTTCTGTCAAATCGACTCTTAATTGTGTCAAATCGACTCTTCTGTCAAATGGACTCTTAAATGTGTCAAATCGACCCTTCTGTCAAATCGACTCTTAATTGTGTCAAATTGACCCTTTTGTCAAATCGACTCTTAAATGTGTCAAATCAACCCTTCTGTCAAATCGACTCGTAAATGTGTCAATTCGACTCTTCTGTCAAATCGACTCTTAATTGTGTCAAATCGACTATTAATATTGTGTCAAATCGACCCTTCCGTCAATTCGACAGTCTTAATTCTGTCAAATCGACCCTTCTGTCAAATCGACGCTTAATTGTGTCGATCGTCCGTCGTATATCGTATCAAATTAACTTCCCGCATAAAACTTAAAGAATGCACATGCTCGCAGTCGCAAAGAAAAAGAAGAGGACGTTTTTTGGATTATACAAGGTGAGATTTGATGTTTCATTTTGTAGGGTATTGAAATTTGTTTTCCAGATTTTTAGTAATTTTAACGTAAATATAAATACGGTATTTGTAAAAATTAATCACGAGAATTGAAGGCCTAGGTGTAATATTAATGATCGCGGGAACTGGGAACGAGAATGCACGCGCCCGTAAGCAATCGGGTTTGCGATCATTCTCGAGCATGCGTACTAACTTTTGGCGCCATTATCGAACGTTAGCCGTTGGGATTTGCTTCGACGAGGGATACGGATAAAATACAAGCGTATTAAAGCCTCGTTTGTTGCAGTATATTCTGGACAAATAAACAATTTATTAGGAAAATACGTTCAAGAAACGTCTCGTGCTGTACTAGCCTAATTCTGGCAAATGTTATTTACTTTCTTCACCTTCGTGTCGAAGACTGTTGTTTGCTGATGGCCAAATCACGACAGCGGACATCAATTATTCAAAATATGTTCTTATAGCTTCACGTTTACGATACGAAACACGTTTTAATGTAAGATTATTTATTTTTTGTATATGTAGGTTCTAGTTGAAAGTGACAGCGAGAATGAAAAAAGTGCAAACAACATTGAAATATCCAGTTCACTACTAGCTCAAATCCTGCGACATATCACTTGCTAGTAGCCCAGTCTAGTTTAACCTTTCCCAATCAAGAATCATCTCCTGAATCAGGCATACTGGCAACACTGGTTCATTTGATAATGTAAGTTTTAAACTGGTATTTTAGATTATAGCCTCGGTCAAATGAGGATGAAAGTCATGCATGAATTGCTTATAAATACACAAAGGACATTTCAAGTTCCACATGAACAAAATATTATTAAAGCTTTGATGAGTGTTCCAACTATGTTTCAACTTAATTAAAATACTCTCATCCTCGTTTGATCCATAATTATTTGTTGATTTTACTCGATACTAAATAGTGAAACATCGAATCCAGAGAAAATCTTTATATATGCAGAACCCACTGTAATTCCGAGCTGTAATCACATAATTATATAAAAGTCGTTTCAGTAGCAGCAAAAGCCAAACTAAACACCAATCTAGGATTAATAGGTTTAGCTTTTAGGCCGAGAATAATACACGATTGACAATTTTGTGGCTGATTGATTTAATAGTATACTGTATATTGATGTTGTTGTTGTATACAGGACATCTGACTTACATGTCAAATTAATAGTCAAATCTATGATTATATTGAGCATGGCAGATTTGACATTTGAAACATTGTTGATGTTAATAACCCAATGAGTCGCATTGCGCCCTGATGCGCACTAAGTATTTATTATTTTACTCTGGCTATCTAACGCTAGCAATTTTACTCATCAAGGGGAGAGCACTGGCGGTTAATGTGTTAACTAGCCTATCTGCCCATGTGTACATAGTTAACCCATTGAGTCGCATTGTGCCCTAATGCGGCCTAATTTATTATTTTACTCTGCCTATCGCAGGACAATTTTACTCATTAAGGGCAGAGCGCTGGCACTTAATGTGTTAACTGGCCTATCTGCCCATGTGTCTAGTTAACCCATCGAGTCGCATTGCGCCCTAATTTATTATTTTACTCTTTCTAACGCCAGACAATTTCACTCATTAAGGGGAGAGCACCGGTACTTAATGGGTTAACTGGCCTATCTGCCCATGTGTGTTGTTAACACATTGAGTCGCATTGTGCCCTAATTTATTATTTTACTCTGTCTAACACCAGATGATTTTACTCGTCAAGGTAAGGGCGCTGGTGCTTAATGGGTTAACTGGCCTATTTGCCCATGTTTACAGTTAACCCATTGAGTCGCATTGCGGCCTACTTTGTTTTTTTACTCTGTCTCGAGAGGAGAATGCTGGTGCTTAATGGGTTAATATTGAAAATATAGATCAACATTTGTCAAAACTCATGACTTGTGCAATCATTTCTGTAATAATTAAGATATTAAAATACCAAATATAATGCCTTATGGCTTATTTCAAATAGGGAGATGCTATGTGACTATGTCCATTGAAATTTAGTGGATTTGTTGTAGCTACATCAAATAAATGCTAGCCAAAAACATATTCAAGTCAATCGAAGAGAATGTAGAATTGCACTTTACATAAAATTCCCTAGTTATTGTACATTAATGAAAAAGCATTTGAAATGGAAATATATTGTTTTAATTTTATTTCTATGGTTTGTACTATGATATACATGGGCTATACACTCTTTGGGAACCCGCAGGGCTGTTGGCAGAGCATTTCCATGATCTGGAACTTCAGTCCTAAACACGATGTGTGGGTGCGAAGATGTTGTGTAGGAACAGAACTGTACAGATTAGAAATATGATTACTGATATTTTCCAAAGAAAAACTATTAATATATAGAAGAGGAAAGAAAGAGGCAATAAATAGCCCAAAGTATCTGTTGTACATTTGAAATTTAAAAATGGTAGGCTTATTAAGCATGAGATCCAGAGAAAAACAGTAATGCAGAACTACATTCTCTTAAGTTGTCAAAATTAAACGCTACCAGTCTTGGTCTCATTTCAAACTTGAATAACGAAAAGTCTAAAAATATAAAAACTATAAGAACAGATCAGCTAAGTCCAGTTATAAAATTAAATGATGAAGGAAAGCTGTCATTTTAGGAAAGTATTGTTTTGGGGTGTGTGAACTCATGAGGTTACATGTTTCTGGTGAATCTGCTTGCTGCAGCAAAAATTTATTAATCATTTGTGACATAATTCACAAGATGTCTATTTTAACCTGTGGGTTGCCAAACTTCTTAAATATGGAATTTGTTTTGTCTGACCAAGATATAATGAATACCACTAGTGACATGAGTATGTCCAATTAATATTTAACTAGAAATAAATGCATGCAGCAACCCCTAGCCTATATTTTCCAAACATTGATTTAACATGAACTATTAGCAATTGGCCAGCACTGAACACAGGCTCACGTTGTGTCAAGTGTTGTCAAGGCAACATAATGTCACATATTTTAAATTTTTTTGAGTAATTTTGCAAGTGTTCATACCACAGAATCTACCATACATAATTTTAAACAAATAGATAGGTGAAGTAATTCAAACAAAATGATTTTGAACTTTATTACTCTACTCTGTCGAACGCCTATTCTACTCGTAAAGGGGAGAGCCCAGGTGCTTAATGGGTTAAATAAGATCGTATAGTTATATGTATATCATGTATTATGTTTTTATGCAGTCTCCTTGAATCACTTGTACCAGGCTATGGAAATTCATGTTTCCAATTTTGTATTTATTTTTCTTATGATACAGTATACTGTAAATTTGAATAATATTTGTGTGCTTATAGTGAGCTTATTTTTAGGAGAGTTTGTTGCGAGGCAGCATATATTTTGATATTTCAAAATATTACTGTATATTGGTATGTTATATTTAATGCTTTTGGAAGGGTTATAGGGGTCGGGTGTGATATACTTTTTCAGGTATTTTGTGTCTGATGTATGTAAGAGCTTTATTATTGGGTTTCTTGGTGAGACCTTATATCTTATGTGTCCTATAACCCTCTGTAATTGCGGATTATTGCATACATTCTAATTGTATTTTTTTTGTAGGAGTCCAAAGATGCAAATGATACAATTTCAAACTTATCACAACCCATACTGTGGCCGTTGGCAGCGAACTAGAATACGACTAGAAACTGTCAATCATACATTATTTAGGGAAAGGATGAAAGTTCCATAACAAGCAACAGTTGTTTTGATGCAATTATCGCCTTATTGGCAAGTTTTTACATCTTCAATATTGACTACTGCCACACGAAGAGTATCTTGTCTGCCTTGCAGACTATAGTAGTGCATGGGCAACACAGAAAATGGCATACAACTGCCAATAGTGAGTTTAAGCAAGTGACGTTTTTGACAACACGGACGTCGACCAGAAGTAAAGTTGTAGTTTTTCACCAATCACAGCCCTTGACCCAGTCTTCTGACGTTGCTCATACCGTCCGTGTTGTCAAAAACGTCATTTGCTTAAGCTCACTAATGAGGGTCACAGCCCTCTTCAATGACTTGTCATGACTCATGAATATTAGTACTACAGTAATTTTACACTTTTTGAGAGTTATGTTGACATATGCTAACCCAAGTTAATGTTATTGATGGAATGTGTGTATTATCTCACCGAACTGTGGTAATGTATTAGAAATTATTCGTATTGCGTTCACGTTAACAACCGCGCCTGCTATTGCTATCACAAGTTGATTGCTCTTTAAAATTAGAATTGTAAACTTTCGGAGCCATATGGCATATATGTACGAATCTTTTGATGGTTCCCACATTTCGGTGAGATACATAATACTGACTACTGTGCATGTATATTGTAATTTTAGTTATAGTATTGTGTTTATAATACAGAAATTGGAACATTATTTATCTCAACTTATATTACAATAATTCATTCCAATCTTGGTCTGTTGGAGAATTTGTAATAAGACCAAATAAACCCCATTATTTTTGCCTGATTCATTATATATACATGTAGAATACGTCTACATGCAAGAGTGCAACCAAATCATGCACATGACTTTAAATGCTATATAAAACGGCACTGGCACCAAAAAGCTATATCAGCTCAATCGGTTCTAAAGCACCTCTTCATTGGGGCTGAGACTGCTCTCCTCTGAAAGGGCCAGAACAGCTCCGGTTAACAAAGTAGGGGTTAAATTGGCTTTTCTTTTGGATCTATAATGGCTCTGAAATTGGACCAAATTGACCCTTTGGGTGCTACAAACTACACCATGAAAAAAGCTATATTAGCTCCTTCGGCTCTAAAGCAGCTCTTCTTTGGGGCTGAAACTATGCTCTTCTGGGAGGGCCAAAATAGCTCTGGTTAAAAAAGTAGGGGTTAAATTGGCCTTTCTTGTGGTCTATAATGGCTCAGAAATAGAACCATATTGGCCCTTTGGGTGCTAAAAAACTACACCATTAGAAAAGCTATATCGGCTCCTTCGGTTCTAAAGCAGCTCTTCATTGGGGCTGAAACTACTCTGTAACTCAGTAGCCAAAACAGCTCCGGTTAGCGAGCCAAATCAACGCTTTTTGGGGTTCATTATGACCACAAATGGGAGCCAAATTAACTCCTCGAAATGCCAAAATAGCCCCCTAATTTTCTGAATTGGCCCCTATTGAAAGTTGAAATAGCCCCTGCTTTTGCCAAAACAGCTCCTACTAAAAGCTGGAACAGCCCTTAAACTGGAAGGGCCTAATCACCCCTTAGGGGCCGCATTGTTAAGCCTGGTTCACATAAAATCGTTAACCCCAAAAAAAGATCTATTTTGCGGTCACCGTTTTGGCCCCATTTTTGGGGTCGTTTCAGCCCTTTTTAATTTACAGTGTATTTGAAAATCTCCAGAAATATCGGTATATCTTAGAAAACATAGCCGGGATCTTCATAGATTTCAGCTGATTCGTGCCAAACTTCGCTCTACACATAAATAATATCGATTGAGAAGTCTTTTGGCTATTTATTTGTTTCGGAGACTTGTATATTACTGTCAAAAACTGCCATTTTTTGGGTAGACACGTGACCGGCCCAGACCAGGGCTTCCTCGTGTCTCGCCTCGTCCTCACACTGAAGCCCTGGGAACGAGGTTGGCTAACTACGTAGGGAAAACTGATCGCTGCCTATATACCCGTATTAAAGAGCATTCTTCTCTTGACTCTTCTGAAATATATAACCATATTACTAACTGTAATGAAATCAATTTTGTAAAAAACCTACTCGAACTAACACCTAATGACAAAGTTAATAACATTAATTATTATATATCAATAGTCAAAGTCGCATTTTTCTAGTGTTTTATTGGTAGAGAGCATATCACGTGAGAGTGACGAAATTAGGCTGTCTCCCTCGCAACAGCGCGAGAGGGGGATAATACGTTATCGACCGGCGAATAACAAAAAAATTCACGTGCGCCATCACGTGAAGATGCGACCTTTGGACATGCCTAGTACGTATAGCCAGTGTACGTATAGCCAGTGTAGCCAGTGTTTAATATAACGTTTTAACTATAAAATATTTCATGTATTTACGTTTATTTGTTCTTTAATTTGTTGTTTCTTTGACTATTGATATATAATAAAAAGAAAGCAGTGTGTTTTGTGGACCCTCGACCGTCGATGTTTGCCTCGGCTTCGCCTCGGGAAACATCGACGGTCTCGGGTCCACAAAACACACTGTATCCCTCGGTCTCAGTAAATAAGTGATAAATGTTCAGTAACAGATTTAATATTTACTAACACTAAGATAATAGATAAATCCAATCACTGGTCGTTGATACTTTATCAAGAGTCTATTGCTATTAAGAGAATGAAACCGTCCCTGAACCATGGAACTAAAGTCTAAAGCCTCTAAAGATCTATTAATATTTAACTAATCGTATCTTGTTACTTCACTATATATACTTGTACATATGTAATATCATCATCATCATTCATTTCCTGATGATGACTATAGTTTAGTCGAAACGTCGAAATAAATTTTTCAAAGTGCTTTCAATTTTCGGAGTATTTATTGTTTTGTATTTTAAAGGACTATATAGTTTTATGAAAACTATAGTTCTTTACCAATACACTATAGTTTTATGAAAACAATAGTTTTTACCAATACACTATAGTTCTATGAAAACTATAGTTCTGTATCTGTAACTATAGTTTTCATAACTAAAGGACTATAGTTTTATGAAAACTATAGTTCTTTAAAAATATCTGTAACTATAGTTTTCATAACTAAAGGACTATAGTTTTATGAAAACTATAGTTCTTTAAAAATACACTATAGTTTCTATAACTATAAAGCAGTGCCAGTGGCAAAGCCAGCCCGACATTTTGGTCATGCCATGCAAATTTTAAATAATTATCATATATTCATTTCTTTAGAAATTTATTGTTTTCGCGGAAATATTTATGTAGCATGACCAAATTGTGGGGCTAACTTCAGCACTATATACTATAAAGGACCATACATAATCCAGTTACTGCACTGTAAAAACTGATTGGTTAAAACAACCAATATTTTGGGTCGCAATTAAATTTAGTTTTTTGACTTTTAATTAATTGGTCAAAATATTGTATTTATTTAACTGGTAAAAATTTCACAGTTTGAGTTAATTTTAAAATCTGCATGAGTTCATGGAAACTATATTTAGACTACATAAATATTTATATTGTTTGTGGAGGTACTGTAGGTGTTTCGGCACATGGGCCCACAGGAGAGAAACAAATTAGGTTCGATTCCCAACGTGGCCAGGCATATTTTTCAAGCTTGACCGGTATGGATACACACTCAAAGTAACATCACAAACATCATAATATTCTTCTTTATTAACCAGACCACGCTTCACAGTAATCAAACTATTAAGCTTGTGTCTAAAATTAAGTGCGATAAATATTGTCAAGAGATTATGGATTTAGCCTCGATTTGCAAAACTATATGGCTTTGCACTTTACCGTGTTTTTGTTTTACCGGACGAGGAAATCATTGCACGCCATTGTGTGCCGGTAATGCGATCAAATAGGCAAGAGAAATTGCGTTTGTATCCCTAGCTTTACTTTTGAAAGCATGCATTTTGATTAATCGTGCTTTTTCATTTATTCTGCAGTAGTCGTTGTGGATATCATCCTATTCAAGAACGCATTGCAGAACACAATGGCAGTCAATGTGGATATTGTACACCGGGAATGGTTATGAACATGTACAGGTAAGAAGTATAGTGTTGCAATCAAGTTCCTACCTCCTCCATAAGTGTTTTTGTGGGGAGTGAACACGCGGGCGAAAAAAAAGATTGGCGGGTGACGTGACGAAACGCCTGCGAAGAACATTATTCGGCAAACTGTATTCCTTCGAAATTTGAATTGGTAGACTTGACGTGCAAGGATTGACCAAATTCAGTCCTAAGTGCTTGACAGTCCTGAAAAGTCCAAATCCTTTGCTATTGTGTGGAAGTCCGATATTTTGTACCTCGCAATTAGCGGTCGCGTTGACAATTAATACGCCGAAGACAAGTTGTTTGAAAATGTGACCTTTGCGGTAACAATTTGAGCACGGTTTCAAAATGGAGCGAAAAGAAAATTGAGCGCATCACGGTTTCGTGTGAACAACTGCACCGTCTTTATCTTTTTCCACTTTTATTAGCATTATGATTTCATCCCTGGACAGAAACTGTTGGACAGAAACTGTGGATGAGAGGGGTGGAACCGTACGGGCGCTGGTTACGGATTATCGGAAGGCATTTGACCTAATAAACCATAATATTCTATGCCAGAAACTGCAGCGAATTGATCTTAAACCATCGGTGTTTAATTGGATAGTGGATTTCTTACGTGGACGCCCCATTTTGAACTAGGCGAATTTGTTCGCGCGAACAGTAAAGGTCCAGACACACTGGACGCGATTCGGCAACGCGACGCGATTTTTTAGTTTTTGAAAGTTAATAAAACAGCCAATGAGAGCAAATTTTGAAAGATATGTAGACCAAATAACTCAAAATGTTATAATGCTTCTAAATATTTGCAAAATTTAAACTAGGATCAAAGTTATCGGTCAGTGAAAATCGAAAAATCGCGTCGCGTTGTCAAATCGCGTCCGGTGTGTCTGGACCTTAAGGTGCGAACTGATCCAACTTTTTCGCTGACCAATCACATTGCCAAGATTTGTTTTCCTCTTCGCTTCGCGCGAACAAATTCGCCTAGTGGAAAAGGGCTTTAAAGCTCCACTCGTACTGTTTTTCAAATTGGAAGCCTGGTCCATGACTGTTTCTAATTATGATCAACGATCTTTCGATTCCATCTGGTGATTTTGACGGTGATATGCTCAAAAATGCAGACTACACCAATGCTTCTGAATATACAGGGTGTCCCAAAAAGCCCCAAAAACTATCGAAATAAATGTATTGTTAGAATTTGAATGCCTCAGCATCTGCTGAACCCACACGTGCATCAAAGCTTGACGTAAGTAAATTTTGTGCATAAAGAAACCATTTAAGAAGCTGTTTTAAATTCCCAGGAGCAGAAAATCGTGCGCTTTACAAAGATATTTTAATTTCTTAATAAGTCAATGTTTAATATATGCACCCTTGTCAATATTTTACGCATCTTTGCGTTCAGCTTAGTGCTAGGGCATTCAAATTTTAACAATACGTTATTTAAATGGTTTTGCATGCGGGGTTTTTTGGACACCCTGTATATCTAATGAAGAGTTCCTTACAAGATATTGCTAATTCTATTGTGAATTGGTCCGCTGACAATAAATTCCAACTCAAACAGATAAAGTATAACAAGCAGATAAAATAGATAGATAGATTTTATTTTGACACGCTAACTACGTGAATTAAAAACATTGATTTCCACGAAGGGCGTGTGTTCAAATGTTATTATATATAAGTGTTGTTATGACTCTT